GCCCGCCCGCTTCATAAAAATTCAAGAGTTTGACACAAACAAGCTTTGGTTGCTAGCAGTAAACATGGAGTTACATTCTTCCGTCTCCTAGTAGACAATCTTGTAGCCACCTGATTCAAGGTTTTTGCACCAGGGCAGGAGAAATCCCCTGAGGGACAATTTTCCCTTATACATTCAAATGCTCCCTTATTCCACAGTGACCCTGAGCGTGGACAGCATCAAATACCCGCAATTCACTCTGTCCCACAATGCATAGTACCCAGCGCCTGCAAACTCAACCCCGGCAGAGGAGAGGGTGATGTGCTACGCTTCTAGCAGCAATTTATTTGCAAAGCTATTCTCAAGGAGTAGGAAGCACCACAGCAGAGATCTCCATTTTGCAGATGGAGGTACAGAGAGGAGTGTGAGGTATTTGGCAAGCCTTGGACAAAAGGACAGGAGATGCGGTTGAACAGTGTCAAAGTCCATCTATCCCCCCTGTGTGGCTTTCCTTTACAAATAAATTGCTGTTCTCTGCACTCAAGATGCCAATTGCTCTGGAGAAGCCCAAGGAATTCTCTCTTGCAGTGGCATTTAAGATATGCTTCGTTACCAGAGCACAGGAGGGCAACAGCTCTGGAAGTCATCTCCCTGCAGAGGCAGAGGTGCAAGGCAGAGCATACAGAGGAGATCCTGTCTTCCTGGTCCAAAAAACCATTAGATGCTTTCCCTATTTTTTTTTTAACGTTTGTAAACAATAATTGAGAATACTGAAAGGAACTGGAGAGATTTACAGAGGTATTTACACGCACTAGACACCTAGAAATCACCAAACTGCTTACATGGGAAAAAAAATACTTCTACACGATTCATCAAGACAGATCCAAAACCCACAAGGGGCAGTGTCACCCTCTGGCACACCCAGGGCACCAGGGGCTGGTCAACAGTTTCCTCCATGGATCACCTGTGGATGCCAGAACCCAGGGTTAGACACACACAGCCCAATGCCCTTGATGGCATGTACCCTGTTCAGGCAGAGAAGCTGTTATCCTGACGCAGATTTGTATCGATCCCGTTACTATTAAAAGAAAAAAAAATCCTAATAATTCCTTTTGTCTCCAAAAGGATCCACCACCACCTCACCAGAAACACTGCTGCAGCAGGGCAGGAACCCAGCCAAGGCACCCTCTCCACCCACTAAGTCCAGAAATGAGCTATGCCTCTGCAAGTTCATCTAAGTAGCTCGGCATTGGCTCATTAGCTGGTGAAATGTCCCTCCTGCCAGTGGGAGAGGCAATCCTGCCATCTGGGCAGGCCGGTCAGTTCTCCCCGTTCTTGGGCAAGGCCGCGTGTTCTAGCCTGATCCTTTCCCCTTGGGGCACCTTGCTTTTCCCATGGAAGGGAAATGTGGCTCTCTACTTCCACAGGATCAGGATCGGGCCCCCTGCCGATAGATCCCAGAGCACTCGGGGTTACGAGGCGAGTATGACACTCCCAGCAGCACGATGGAGTCTCAGACAGGGAAATCAATCCTAACCCCCCCGCAAAGAGATTCCCCACCTGCTTCCTGTTCGGAAAGTTGGAGCCGTTCCTTGACTGTTCCTGCCCAGCTCTAAAATCTAGCCTATCACTACCTACAAAACCACACGCACGCTCTGAAACATCCCACTGTGTCAGTACGGTCCTGTCCCGGGCAGGGCAGGGCACGGCAGGCCCCACGCCTGCAGCCAGAGCTCATGAAATACAAACAGGAGTCCATAGTCCCTCCCAGCCCCGGCTGGGGAACAACTGGGGAAAGGTAGGGGTAAGGGCGGGGAAGGGAGCAAGTGTACCTGACTTGCTGTGAGCTTGGGTTCAAAGACTGGCCCTGGGCAATTCTTGCATGGCTCCAGTCACCTCTTTCCCACAGAGTAGCCCTGAGGTTGAAAGCCCATTAGACCTGGGTTGACAGGGGCAGAGGTGTCACTAGGAAAGTTTGCTCCCAGGTCAGTGTTTTCCAAGCCTGGTGGACGCTCCTGTGCCCCCGCTCCTGCAGCCGCCACCACTGCCCTTGGGATCGCTGTCGCCAGCAGCAATGCTCGGGTGGATTTGGTGGCGAGAGAAGCAGCAGCTGCGTGAAGGGGCATGAGAGGGTCCCTACAGCCAGCGCCTGCTCCCTGGGCACAGGCTCCCTGGGGGCTTCCATTCTGGCACCCCCTCGAAGCCGGCGGGGCGGTGTCCCACTCGCCCACCCCTAGTTCTGCTGCTGCAAACAGGCCTTGTCTCAGGCACAGCTGGGATCCCAAGAGTCTGGGGAGAAGAGGTGGGGCGCGAGGAGGCTTCTCAGGGCCAACACTTCCCCTCAGGGCAGGGAATGAGCTCTCAGAGGGGCAGACCTCATTGCCTGTTTGTGCTGTAGGAGACTCCCGCTTCCTTAGGGACAGGGGCTGTAGGATGCAAGGACACAAGGTTCCCTGTTGCCCTCAGTCCAGATGAATCCCTGCCTCCTTCCCAGAGCCATAGTACCTCCATTACCCCTCTGTCATGGGCCAGGGTCCCGTGCCTGATTGCTGACCCATGACTGGGCACAGACCTGGGCCATAAGAGGGGTCTCCAGAGCCTACAGCTGGAGAAGACAGAAGAGCCTCCAGGATAGACTCTGGAGTTTGTGGTGGGGAGACAGAGATGAGAGGGGCCGTGAGTAGATGCTGGCTTGGGGCAGAAACTAGGGAGAGGGGAAGGTTCCTGGCCAGCGGTGAGAGGGAGGAAGAAAGACGGGCCAAAGCCAGCATAAGGACCCCAGGCTGGCACAGTCTTTGGACTTCAATGCCCCGGCACGGACACCCCTGGCACCCCTGCCTGACTTCCCATCACCCACCCACAGCCACAAAGCCCCCAGTTGCAGGTAAACACAGAGGGGCGGGGAAGAGACCATTACAATACAGCTTAATAAAAGACCCCATCCCCGAGGGACATGCTGCAAGGTAGAACTCCAGCATAACATACAAACTTTGTTCTGTCTTTGTGCTGTTAAAAAACAAACCCCCACAACAAAAAAGAAGAAACCCCCACAAAATCCACTCTGTCCGGCCCACAGGCCACAGAGATGTTTCATCCCTGAGATTGCTTGAATACCTGAGAATAAATTGCAGTAATTCTGTCCTTTCTCTCTCTCTCTCTCTCTCTCTTTAAGATTAAAATATACAAAAATACAAAAAACAGAATATTTATATTAAAAAAAATAACGAAGACGACAAACAAACCCAAAGATACGTCATACGCGCACGTCTTAGTGCAGGTTCACGGTGCAGCGGCTTCGGCTCAGGTGGAGCCTGATGCTGCAGACACAGCTGTTCCCAGGAGCCAATAAATAAAGGCAGACGAGGGAGCCCCGGGGGAAGGGGAGGTGGGGAAAGGGGGCAGCAGCTTGGAAGGGAGAGATGGTCACCCTGTGCCTCCCTGCCAAGGAAAGCCATGCCGAGAATGCTTATGGACTGGGGCACCAGACCTGTGTGGAGGGAAGAGCTATGGCTTGCTGGATGCTGCCTGGACCATATCTGAACCCACTGCAAAAATCAGTGGGAAGCCTCCCAAAAGCAGGCCCTACTGGCCAGGGGTTGTGTTAGACACTTTCATTTTAGATGCTCTGAGCTGTGATGGCTTGGGAAAAAAATATATGGCTTCTTTGTGTGTCAGGGCCCAGCCTGATCTCTGTGCTCCTGTGTCATCCCCAGGGAGGCGACGTGGTCCCACGCGTGCAGACACACAGCGAGTGTCTGTCTGTCCAGCAGCAGGAGCAGCGGGAAGCAGTGCCAGCCGGGCAGGAAGGACACCCCCCCCCCAGGCTGGCATCTTTCCCATTCCTTACAGTTTGGTATTGGAAGGGTGCCCTGCAACGGGGCCGTACACTGCTTCCGTCTGATCCGTGAGCATAGGTCTAAAAGGGAAGAGCCTGTTCTACCGACCCTCGGCTAAAGACACTGCAGAGCTGAGGTCAAATGCTGGGAGTGGAGGTCTGAGCTGCTGGATTTGCAAGGGATGGGTCACCAGGAGGAGCCAAAACGGAAGGTTTGGAGTACAGACAGCTGCTGCCATCGACTCTCTCCCCACCTGGGCCACCAGGAGAGGAGAAAGGGGGAGAGCTGGCGGCTCTGAAGCCAAAGGCCGTAAAGCAGGAGCGGGTCTCAGCCTCTGCCACCTGCCCTCCATCCAGCATGGAAAGCCTCAAAGGAAGAGGCGCTTCCCAAAGCAAGCTACGGTCAGAGGAGCAGCGTCCTGCGCTGCCGTGACTCCGAGGGGCTCGAGATGTCGGACGTTCCCCGGGAAAGCAGCAATGCAGAGCTGGATACTGGCAAGATCTACAAGGCTCACCCATGCCCAGCCCTGGAAAAGGTGGCGTGGCAGCTCTGGCTTACTGTGTATTAGTCCCTTCTGTGCTTCTCCGGTTCAGATGCTGCTGCTCTGCCTCCACAAAGGGTTCCCAAACCCTCCTGACCAGAGGGAGTAACTTGGAGTGGCTTTCAGTGAGGGGAGGTACAGGGTGATGGCGCTGCCTGCTCTCCCGCGAGGCATCTGGACAGAGGTTTCACAGGGCTCGGGAGAGGCTGGGATTTTGGAGCCAGCACCCCCCCTCTCTTCCCTCTGTCCCGATGCCAGCGCTGTCACCCCGCAGGCATCCCCTGCCCTTCCAAGCCGCTGCCCTCCTGCCCCATGTTCTTATCCCCAACCCCCTCGTGATGGCAGAGCCTGCTCACTGCGCTTGCTTTGAAGACTGATGCCTTGTTGAAGCCTTTGGATCCTGGCGGAAGTCTCCCCCCCCATCATTCCCTGGTTTCAGGAAGAAGGGGCGAGCTGTGCATTTCTTCCTCCTCCCGAAAATAGGCCGGCTTTCCCTGAGAGCTGGGCGACTGCTGGGCTTTGATGGGGCAGTTGGCGACCATGTGGGTGATGCTTTGGCAGAAGTGGCATTTCTTTGGCTGCGGAGGGAGCTTGCACTCTTTGGCATGATGGTCCAGCCCACCACAGTTGTAGCATCTAGGATGAGAGCGAGATCCAGGGAGGGAATTAGTTGGATTGACTGTACCCAGCCGATGCCTTCCCCAGGGCCTCACCTCCACACGCTTTGGGGAAATGGGGAGAAGAAGGCAGTGGGAGAGAAGCAGCCATTTTCGTCCATCAGTGACACATCCCTATCGCTGCTGTGACGAATCAGGAGCTACCTGGGACTTAATAGCATCGGTCAGGGACGGGAATACTGGAATTCCTGCTCCAGGAAGGCAGGAGACTGCTGTATTTTCCTCACATACAAGACACATTTTTCCCCAAAGACTGCTGCTAGAAATTGGAGTGTTCATTATATACAAAAAGTACAG